TGGAAACTTCTGGAGGGTTGACTTTCTGATTTGTCACAAGAACCACTGTCTTGTCCAAGTTACTCATTTCGAGCGGTGCAGGAGAAAGGCTTTAGACTTCAGGAGGTGGTTTGCTCCACACCACAAAACCTCAACATCTATGTCCGGAGGGGTGGGGCTGGTGGTGGAGCCTTCAGGATGGCGTCCTCGACTGACGCGCCCATGTTCTTCGGGATGTGGATGAAGGAAAGGCAAGATGCCTTTTTGGTCTCCTCGCACTGTGTGGCCGGCAACCGGCAACCAGGGATTGCAATGGCTCAAAACGAACAGCACAGTGGTGGATCGCGGATCCAGAGCGGGGACCGTGGGCCGCGTCGCGAGTTGTTCCAGGAGCAGTCGATGGCTAGGGGTAGTCGCAGTAGCAGTAGTAGTAGTAGTAGTAGTAGTAGTAGTAGTAGTAGTAGTAGTAGTAGTAGTAGTAGTAGAAGTAGAAGTAGAAGTAGAAGTAGTAGTAGTAGAAGTAGTAGTAGTAGTAGTAGTAGTAGTAGTAGTAGTAGTAGTAGTAGTAGTAGTAGTAGTAGTAGTAGTAGTAGTAGTAGTAGTAGTAGTAGTAGTAGTAGTAGTAGTAGTTAGTAGTAGTAGTAGTAGTAGTAGTAGTAGTAGTAGTAGTAGTAGTAGTAGTAGTAGTAGGTAGTAGTAGTAGTAGTAGTAGTAGTCGTAGTAGTCGTGGTAGTAGTAGTAGTAGTAGTAGTAGTCGTAGTAGTAGCAGTAGCAGTAGCAGTAATAGTCGCAGTAGCAGTAGCAGTAGTAGTAGCAGCAGGAGCAGGAGCAGGAGCAGGGAGCGGAGCAGGAGCAGAGAGTAGCAGCAGTAGCAGTAGCAGTAGTAGCAGTAGTAGCAGTAGTAGCAGTAGTAGCAGTAGTAGCAGTAGTAGCAGTAGTAGCAGTAGCAGTAGCAGTAGCAGTAGTAGTAGTAGTAGTAGTAGTAGTAGTAGTAGTAGTAGTAGTAGTAGTAGTAGGTAGTAGAGTAGTAGTAGTAGTAGTAGTAGTAGTAGTAGTAGTAGTAGTAGTAGTAGTAGTCGTAGTAGTAGTAGTAGTAGTAGACGTTGTCGTGGTAGTATTAGTATCAGTATGAGTATCAGCATCAGTGCTAGTACTAGTACTAGTATTGGTATTCGTATGAGTATTAGTACTCGTATAAGCATAAGAATCAGTATAATAAGTATTAGTATCAGTATTAGTCTTCGTATTAGTACTAGTATAAGGTTTACGAGTAGTATGAGTCTCAGTAATGTCTTAGTCTTAGTCTCGGTCTCAGTCTTAGTACTAGTAGTACTAGTACTATAAGTAGTATAAGTAGTATAAGTAGTATAAGTAGTAGTAGTAGTAGTAGTAGTAGTAGTAGTAGTAGTAGTAGTAGTAGTAGTAGTAGTAGTAGTAGTAGTAGTAGTAGTAGTAGTAGTAGTAGTAGTGTAGTAGTAGTAGCAGTAGCAGTAGCAGTAGCAGTAGCAGTAGTAGTAGTAGTAGTAGTAGTAGTAGTAGTAGTAGTAGTAGTAGTAGTAGTAGTAGTATCAGTATCAGTATCAGTATCAGTATTAGTATTATGATTATTAGTAGTAGTTGTTGTACTCGTATTCGTCTTAGCACTGGCATTAAGACTAGCATCCTGCGCTCCAATGGTTGAGAGTGGAGAGTTAGGTTGCTGAGTGCTGACTCGGATGCATCCCCCTGTCAACGGCGAGGTAAGGTTGCTCCCTTCCCCTCCCCACCCCCGACTGCCTCCTCTGCCGACATCCGACCCTTCCGAAAAGCTTCATTTTCATCCTATTCAAACCCCAGCTTTTTTTCATATATTAAAACGTACTGCGAAATCTGATCCTATCTGTAAACCTATTCTATATCCCATTTGTTTCCCCAACTTATTTAATGGTCTGAACTCCTCGATGCTGGCCAAGAGCTTTTTTACTACTCTACCGACCCCTGGAGACGCCAGGAAGCATCAAAGAATATTACGAAAGCTAGCGTAGCTAGTCTTTCGTTTCGACTAAGCCTGACACTTACTCACGCTGAAGCAGATAAAACCCCAAAGCTGCGAGAAGTAAAACATGACGCCAGTTTTCCCACGTTCCAGCTACCTTGTGGCACGTTCAGCCCTGAAGCCCTCAACCCAGACGCCTCCGGTAGGACAGCCTTCGATGACTCATGCGTGAGGGCGCAACAATCTGGGGTCGTTTTGACCCAGCTGCGGCTTTGCCGTGCAAGGAGCGTGTCAGACTTGACCTCCAACAGCAGGGCTGTGAACTCTTGCAAAACGTGACAGCTTTTTCTACAGGTGCTCGGCCTGCAGAAACGCTGAGTCTGCTGAGTCCAATTTAGCAGACTGGACCTGCAACATGAGGGCGAGCATGCTGAAGCACCGGGCCATCTGCACTGCAACCATGGCGATAGTGGAAGGTCTACGGTCTCGGATGGTGGTGGTTAACCATGGCTAACCTCTTTCTGTAGCCAGCGCCGCAACAAAGAAACACGGACTCATGGATAAATGTGATAAACCCTATAATTGTGTCCGCGTTCGCGTTCCACGTCCCCAACCCGGCGTCTTCGACATTCGTAGACAAATCTACAGGAAAATAAGCGCGGAGTTAAATCACCAGCATTTGTTACGATAACTTGTTGCCATCTACAGGTTGTCCGGTTTCCCTTTCGCCTATTGCAGCTTGGGCTTCCCAGTTTTGACTGCAACGCTACTTCCCAAGTTTCCGCAAACAACACGGGCAAAAAAATCCATACCACTTTCTCACACAACATCACACAACATATTCTGTCTTTCTGTACGTTCTCCTCATCCCAGCCACGGGCTCTGCGCTGCGGTAGCGTTCTACATGCCGGTACATGTGGCTTTAAATTTTAATCTTCGAGAGTGATGCTGATGTGGCCGCGGTGCGGTCTTCTCAGTGATCTTGTTGGGGTCCGCACTGGCATAATGTGTTCCTGGCTACGGACTACAAAACAACGGACACGCCTCTGAATGCGCCTTGTGCTATGAGTGCCGGAGGTTTTGTTATCTGTTCTCTGTGGAGCTCCGAGACCGACAGATTGTCAATCTGAGCCGCCAAATTGACAATTTTGAAGACCCTAGATTGTCAATATGAAGCCACCCCAGATGGTCGAGCTTGAGACCGCTAGATTGTGAATTCGAGCCGCCCGATTGTCAATTTTTGAGGCACTAAGTTGTTTTTTTAAAACCCCCCACCAGGTTGTCGAGCTTCACACCGCTAAATTGTCGATTTGAGCCACCAGATTGTTATTTTCGAAGGACGTACTTGTATTGTCAATATGGAGCCCTCAGACTGTCAACCTTGAGACCGCTAGATTGCCAATCTGAGCTGCCAAATTACCAATTGACCCGAGATAAGACCCTAGGTTGTCACGGTTGAACAGCTCGAGACTGTAAACTGGACTTGCCACCCTAAACGGGTTTGGGAGTAGGCTCTCAACTTAAAGCTGGGAGTTTCCAACACGGAGACTGGATCATCAAGCTCCAAACACATCATTTTCAGTTTCTGAGTTTCAATCCCAGTTCCTGGACCTCAATCCTATGCCGAATTAAAACCCTGACTATGCTGTGGGAGGACTATGTAAGTTTCATTGCGCCACCCCAGGAGGACCTCGAACACCTTCCTGGAGTCCTTTGCATGACCGCCAAGCATGGGCACATCATTCCGTATCTATGCCAAGGCCCCGTCAATTTTGGGCTGCTGGTTGAAGGTCGGGCTTTAGTTTGATCTGGTGCTCAAGATCTACGTGCGTATCTCCCACCCTGATCTGCTAAGCGTTTATAAAGTACTGTAAGGCCTGAGCCCGTCGGAATAAATCTGGGCAGCTGATAGATCACAGCCGTGGACAGTAAGAATGTACCCAGACAGCTGGGAGGAAATCCTGTTGGGGCCCAGCTTCGGTGTCCGTAGAACGAAGCAGGCAGAACGGACTCTTTGTTTCGGGCTTTGAGAGACTTCAAGCTCGGAAGTTAAGGCCAAAGATCAACTCTACCAAGGGTTGTGCCGCAAACTCCAACTCTTCCAGGATTTGGGTTTTGGCTTGCGCTCGAGTGCACATTTCAGCCTGTAGCGTGGAATCCACGGTTTGGGTTTTGGAACCAACTGCAAATCCGCTGAGCCTGCAGAAGAAGGTACGAATGTATGGCTGTATATGTGTACATGTACATGACATGCGTACATAGGTACACACGTACATATGTAGACATATCTGTATGTAGGTATGTATACATATACACATAATCTGCATATACAACTTTATACATTTTTACAGATAGACATGAGACAGTATGATGTGCTCGGACAGACACCACCCGCCGTCGCATGGCATCGGTAGTATCAGTTCGTTCTCGCAGAGCTTGAGAATGCTTCAGGGCCGATGGGGTTCATCCACCGGCCAGCAGGACATGGGATTTAGCGGTTGCAAGTTGATTCTTCTTCTGATAGCGAGCTGCGTGCCGCCACCGTCTTTTTCTGCCCTGCGTGTGCCGCCAACGGTGCTGCAACCGAGGAGGTTGTCGAGCAAGGCTTTGCATGCAGTCATGAAGCATCAGGCAGATGTTGGGTCAATCCTTCGGACATCGCCCTGTCCTGCTGCTGTGGATTTATGTATGTCGGCCCTTCAGGCCTCAGGCTCTGGGCTGAATCTCCACGAAGCAACTACACCATCCAAGGCACCATGTCTTGTGATCTGATTGCCCACTGCTACAACTCCGACGTGCAGCAATGGAAGCACGAACGAATCGTGAACCAATCTCGGAATGCCAAACGTGAGCACAAGATGGATTGCAGAACCGAAACTGGTGTGTGAGAACTGTGCTGCTAAAATCTGTTCACAGTCTCCCTCCCTCTCCCTCCCGCTCGCTCTCCCTCTCTCTCTCTCTCTGTCTCTCTCTCTCTCTCTCTCTCTCTCTCTCTCTCTCTCTCTCTCTCTCTCTCTCGTCATGAGCATGTCCAAATCAAGGCAACTCACTTCTGGTGGAACTCCCCAGTCCGGCAAGCCGCCTGGAGCAGCCAACGACTTCTTCACTGTTCCGGGCTCCGGGAGGCTTCTGATAAGAATGGTCCAGCCAATCGGAAACTGTTGAGATCACACAGATTCCGCGGACGTGTTAACACGATTATGTCTCGAGACCCCGAGAACAAGGCAGTTGGAGGAGAACTTGTGGATGCCCAGGCTCCACTCAGTCACTCAGTGAGCCTTCAGCCCAACATCAGTTACAACACGATCCGTAAAATTCTGCAAGTGGAGCTAAAAGTATCGCGCTGCAGGAAGAACACTCCAACTTACAGAGAAAGAGCGAGAAAGACAGAGAGAGAGCGAGAGAGAGGGAGAGAGAGAGAGAGAGACAGACAATAGCCAGAGAGGGAGGGAGGGAGGGAGAGAGGTCACCTCCCCCGCTCCGCCCTCCATGTCCTTCTGCATTTCTGTCTTCCAGGGTACCCAGCATGATATGCAGAACGACATGCAAACGAAGTGCCGCGAACCCGTGCACTCAAGACTCCTTTTCACACCACTGATACGACAGCGCTGTCCACCGGGGTGGGCCGCAGCACAACCGTCTCTTCAAGATCGCGTTCTGTGCCATGTCGCGGGTTACTTCGACCAGCAGCTGAGAAGATCAAAGGCAGACTCCTCTATACGCAAGATGAGCAAGATGAGAGTCCCGCCAGCAGTGACATTCTTGCTTGCTGCATCGCATCCACAGTCTGGCGAGCTCTGATGGCCAGATAAGGCCAGGGCAGGTGACCGCATCGAAACTATGGAACTAAGACAAGTTGTGGCTGCTGGCTAAAACGTTGAGCGAAGGCAATCCCGTCAATGCTTGAGGATTGACTGTCGTCCTCCCTGTTACAACGGCAAAGCCAAGACAGTGCGAAGATCATGCACGTCGATCGCTCTCGCATTGCAAATTGAAAAAATGTCCGGCGGCCCTGTGGGAGCTCGCGACTGCGCGAGCTCCAGTCCAGCTCGGCATTGGTATAGCTGGCATAGCTGATGTCTCGCCGGCTATATAGGGCCACGGAGACACTGAAGGTTGCCTCGTGCGCATGAATTCTATAGCGAGGATCAAAGGAAGAGAGTCAGAATCAGAAAGTAGACATATATGTGAACAAACACATGCATGTATGCATGCTTGCAGAAAGTTAGACAAGCAGACGGACGACGGACAGGCAGACAAGAGGAGACAAACACATCGACAACAAGATGCAGCTACAGCCTGAGACTGTCAGAAACGTAAAATGGAACACGGAAGAGACATGTAGACGGGCAAAGGCCGAGAGAGGCAGATACATGGGACAGACAGACGAAAGCAAACAGGACGCAATCAAACCGTGCAAGCAGAACTTCCACCAGTCCACGGTTGCTCGCTTCGCTGCTGCAGATATGATCAACCGACCATTTTGAGCACGCTGCCTCGATTTGGCACTTCGGGCTTGCAGCAGGTTACGGGCACAAGTTCAACATGGCGAAACCGGTGCATCTGCTTGTCATGTCGCCAACAGCTTTCCTGGACCACCAAGACCACAGCGCATTCAGAGATCCGGCGTGACTCACCTGGAATCTGCTACTGCATCCTTCACGATACAAGCTCGATCTGTACAAGCTCATTGGCAAGTGCCCGGTACTTCAGCATAATGAGAGAAAGTGCCAACCAAGAGACGCACCACAACTTGTTACGTAGCAGCTCGTTCAGACTCAACCATGTCGAGTCGACATGCTCGGCCAGTGGTATCAGCTCATGGGGGGAAGATTCGGCTTGGGGCCAACACAGCTAGGTCCTGATGTCATCTGATCGGACACAGTGGCTGCAAACAGCAAAGCGACTTCCGATGCAAAGCCCTCCGATTCATCCTCTGAATCTGACGACAGTCTGGCACCTGGCATGGCGAGCAACTGGTCATCCCTCAGCGAAGGCGGCGGCATTCTCTTACGAATCGGACGCAGATGCTCAAACTGGAACATGTCTGTAGAGAACCCCACTCAATGTTTAACACCTCGGACCAAGGGGCACGGGCGGAAGCTCCGATGTTAGAATGAGGCTTCGGGATGCCGACCGAGAGGCAGCAGTGGGAAGCAGTCATTACCCTGGTGGAGTCGGTTGTGGTTGTATCGACAGGTAGGATTCTCCCGGTCGGCTTGCTGACAACAGCATACAACATCACGAAACACATAATTAATTCGCTTTCGCCACTCCGAAACCAGCAGCCTCACATTGCCAATGCTAAGCTGCTAATTCACGAAATGACACCTTTCTCCTACCCCGATCGCAACAGCCACGCCTCCTCCCCAAACAGAAAAAACGGACCTGGAGCTCAAACCCTTCGCCACCGATGCGTCGAGTACTTGGGCACCCAGCGACCCAGGCCATGGGTGGCTCAAATGGCTGAACTTTCCATTTCAAAGGCGGGCCTGAGGCTGTAGTCTGTTCATTCAGGGTTCGTTGGCATCGAGGCCGTTTGCAGATCGTTTGCAGGTACTAAAGTAAAGAAAGCGATCCTGCCAGGCTCTGGGGAGGAAGACTTAGGCCCTCAGGAGTGGCCCTTGGGAGAAACAGCTCAGGATGCATCTGAGGTGGGCACTGACCAGTGGCTTCGGCTCCAGAATCTTCCTCTCAGGCTCTGCGGGTTTGAGATGTCGGTAAACCTCAAATTTAGTGCTGAGGCAAAGCAATGACCCAAAGTTGGTGATGCGAGATGTCGCCTGAAGGCTTGCGGTGGTGATACCGCCGTTGCTGGTTGCTACAATCAATGTGGCAGAGAACCTGGTGGCATTGCTAGTGGCGGCGGCTGTTGTGGTCACTGAGTTGCATTCAATTTTCTGGTTGTGGCCCGGTGGCGGTCATGTCGAATTCAGGACTGCGAATCTGTTCGTCAACATAAACCAGGGTTTGCAGGCTTTTCTTCGTGAAACATCTCCAAACCCTGTTCTTATGCCCCCGATGTTGGCCATGGCTTCCGTGCGTGCGTATCAAAGTACTGCGCTGGTGTGCATTCGCATTGTAAGGCCAGGGCCATCGGAATCAAAACAGTCATGCAGGCACGCTTACTGTATCCAAATCAGAGCACCCGCACTGCCATCACAGACAAAAAACATGCATCCTGCGAGTTCTGGCTGTTCCTGCCGGGCCCCATGGGCCGAACCGCCATTCCGTGGTCTCTCTGGTCGTCGCCAGCCCCCAGCAAGCAACAACAGCCATTCACGCCACTGCCACTAGCAGAAACTTCGTGTAGTGAGTAGTAAAAGTAGTCGTCGTCGTCGTAGTAGTAGTAGTAGTAGTAGCAGCAGCAGTAGCAGTAGCAGTAGTAGTAGTAGTAGTAGTAGTAGTAGTAGTAGTAGTAGTAGTAGTAGTAGTAGTAGTAGTAGTACTAGTACTAGTACTAGTACTAGTACTAGTACTAGTACTAGTAGTGGTAGTAGTAGTAGTAGTAGTAGTAGTAGTAGTAGTAGTAGTAGTAGTAGTAGTAGTGGCAGCAGTCGTCGTAGTAGTCGCACATGACATTGCCAAGCACAATACGATTGATGATTGTACTCAGCGTGAGTTGTAGAAAACCGAAACTCTGACGCCGAGCCACGGCACTGCACAGCTTCAAGTTGACTTACTTTGTATGCGATTTCACATACAGAGGCGATTCGCTTTTAGAGGTCTGGCTTTGTGAAAGGGCTCTTGGAACATATTGTCGAGTACTCTGGAAGGAATTGCCTCGGATCAGAAAGCTTCGAGGTGGCAAAATCCCCTGCTCCTGTGCCGAAACCGTACACCCTGCGCCTATTCAGCTGTTTTGTTTCCGGTCTCAGAACCCAGTTCCAGAGTCATCGTCACATTGTAAACCTCCTGCGACTTGCCTTGGCCTAGCATTTGGTGGTTTAGCCCGTGCAAAGTCTTGAGCGCCTGTATGGCAAAACACGTCTTGCGTTGAGCAGCGCGGCCTGCGAAGGATGCATACTTGAGCTGCGAACCATCGACAACGCGCACATAAACCCTCGAGCTGGGCTCAAGAAGAGGATGCTCTGTGCCACGGCTTGTCTGTGCCCACTTTGGAAGTGGCTCAAAAGGTGGTCACCTAGTCCGGGATCGGAGCGCCGGATCAATTCAACTCTCAGCTGAAGGTTCTCTTCCGCTGCATAGGTTACATTCTTGCCGTAAGCCGCAGGCCATAGAAACTTGAGACATCCGTCATGTCATGACTCTCAGCAACACAGATCTGACTAGACCATCGAGACGACTCTCGTTTCTTAGAGCCCAAGGCCACTGCAAGGATCATGCTCAAAGGCATCGAGGCCCCTGGAGTAACTACTGGAGGCAAGTGTTATTCGATGCAGATGCTGTCTATGTCAGCATCGGATGCAACAGAAGAGTCCACACCCAGGCTTCTTGCTTGAAGCCGACTCTTTGGAATCCGCAGCTCTCCCCGCATCACTGAAGCTTTCGGCCACTGCCTCTGTGAGCGCCCGGCTCAGGCCAGGTTTGCCGGCCTGCATCACTTAAGGCAAAATAATGATCTGCCCGGACCAGAGTCGTTATTGCTTGGTTGCGTTTCAGGGTGAGGGTTTCGCGGAAGCATCATCGTGCATTTCTTTGCGGGCATGAAGTGGTCCGCGCTCGTCAGGCCCTTCGTCTGGAGCTATTCTGGTCCTCGCGCCCTCCAGCCCTGACCAGTTCTTGAAGTTGTAGTATGTGCTGAACAGAATAGCTACCCGAAGTAGTGTAAGTAGTCTGTAGGAGCAGCAAGTAGTCAGCGTGTTGATACAGCCGGCGTAGGTAGACAAAGGAAGAAGTATTGCAAATACCAGGGTCCTGAGTCAGAAGCCGGCCGCAGCGAGTCGAAACCTCTAAACCCTAAACTACCATGAACCCTAAACCCCGAACCTCAACCCTAAACCTTAAAGCTGGAGAAGTTGCAGGTATCTGCAATATCGGTTACTGCTACGTCATTCCGCCTCGTCTTGTCCTGCTCCTATCTTACTCCATCCTCTTTTAAATTTAGGACATGCGTAGTGTGGCACTAGTATAGGAGTAGGATGTAAGCAGTAGAACTTGTGAATCTTCGTACGCCCAGCACCTTGCCTTACGTGAGGACTGCATGTCGAACGATGTCTGAAAAGTGCGCTCCCGAACACATGATTTCCGTCAGCTGGCTTACAAATTCATCCATCAAGCACTACTCCCACAAGTAGCTATTTTCCGATAACATACATACTTATTCCTTTGGTGAATAGCTACTTTTCGGACGGGAGTGGGAGCATGACTAGTGCTAGCACCTACCAACTCATGCCTTCCGAAATCATGGCCGCAACCGTCAACAGCAGCTGCAGAACAACCCAGTGCAAGGAGCCTGTCGCACGCGCTCGGCCCTGTCGTCAGACATGGTAGATGCTCCAAAATAGAATCAGCCGTACTCTATTGTGAGCCTCTGCACTTGAATCTTGGGACAAACGGCTGATGCCTGTCAAAGTCGATGGGCTGATTGGCTGATCTCTTGAATAGCACATCGCATGGAAATATCTACTTTATTGCCCCCTGCTTTGACATGTCCACACTGTTCTGCCTTCATGCATGTGTTGATTGACAGGCTTTTTTTTTCTCGCCCTGGTCGCCGTTAGTGGCACTCAGCAGCTTGGTGCTTGGTGCGCCGATGTAGTATGACAAATGACTGCTCGATCGGTACGGCGCTGCAGGGGCAGCCATGACTGACAAACAGCATGGAGACATCTTGACTAGTTCAATTTCTGACGAACCTCCACCTGCTAGAATTCTTCTCGAAGTCTTTTTCCCATCTAACATTGCATTGCTGGCCCGGACAAGCTCTCACCGCTGGCCTGTCGTCCATCTCCGCTTGGCGGATGAGCTCCCAACAGGTTTGGTCCTAAGGGTCTTTCAGATTGAGGAAGCAGGGTCGGTTGAAGACGGCTTAGTAAAGGACTGAATGGTTCAAAGTGTGTGAAAGGCTACAAGACATCAAATGCTTTGAATGTTTGTTCGGACGTTCGTCATGTGCCACCACCGGGCCACTGCCAGCACGCTTTACACTAACTATGTCAGCCATTCCCACTTTCTTCGTTGTGTCGCAGATGTCATCTTTCTTCGGCTGGTCGGGTCGTACAAATGCATTTTCAACTGCCTGCGAAGCAGGTTTGCCAACGAGCCGGAGCTCTACCCAAAGATACTGACATTTGGTAGCTGATACCACTGGTTCGAAATCCTAACTGCGAGATATTCCGGGCTTCATGCCAATCCTAGCAACGCTTGGCAGCTTGGCCCCACGCGGTGACCGTAGCGAAGGGTATCTGCCTCTCAGCCATGACCAGGGAAACAACATCTGAGAGCACAAGCCGCAGGATCCGCAGCTTTAGTCGCAGATCTCTTTGTGGTAGCACAAGAAGTCCTAGTAGTTGTTGTTGTGGTGGAAGTAGTAGTAGGAGCAGTAGTAGTGTAGTGTAGCGCGGCGTAGGAGAGTGTAGTAGTAGTAGTAGTAGTAGTAGTAGTAGTAGTAGTAGTAGCAGTAGTAGCAGTAGTAGCAGTAGTAGCAGTAGTAGCAGTAGTAGCAGTAGCAGTAGCAGTAGTAGTCGTCGTCGTCGTAGTGGTAGTGGTAGTGGTAGTGGTAGTGGTGGTAGTAGCAGCAGCAGTAGTAGCAGCAGCAGTAGCGGTAGCGGTAGCGGTAGCAGTGGCAGTGGCAGTGGCAGTGGCAGTGGCAGTGGCAGTGGCAGTGGCAGTGGCAGTGGCAGTGGCAGTGGCAGTGGCAGTCGTAGTAGTAGTAGTAGTAGTAGTAGTAGTAGTAGTAGTAGTGGTAGTAGTAGTAGTAGTAGCAGTAGTAGTAGTAGTAGTAGTAGTAGTGGTAGTGGTCGTGGTAATGGTAGTGGTAGTAGTAGTCGTAGTAGTAGTAGTAGTGGTGGTAGTGGTAGTAGTGGGAGTGGTAGTGGTAGTGGCAGTGGTAGTAGTAGAAGTAGTAGTGGTAGTAGTAATAGTAGTAGTAGCAGTAGTAGTAGCAGCAGTAGCAGTAGCAGTAGCAGTAGCAGTAGCAGTAGCTGTAAGTAGTAAGTAGTAGTATAAGTAGTAGTAGTAGTAGTAGTAGTAGTAGTAGTAGTAGTAGTAGTAGTAGTAGTAGTAGTAGTAGTAGTAGTAGTAGAAGCAGCAGCAGCAGCAGGAGGAGGAGGAGGAGGAGTAGTAGTAGTAGTAGTAGCAGTCGGGGTATGTGTACAGGCTCATGGTGCTTGGGTGATGCTCCTGTTCGATGATGATTGTTTTGGCTTGACTTGAACGGTCTACTGGCCAACTATTAACTATTGGGAGCGAGTCGTTGCTATCAAGGGGTGTTACGGCCGTCTGGCCAGCAGGGGACTTTGTTTGTCAATCAGTCCTTCAGCTTTATCCCGCCGGCTTTGAACTAGAGGATTCTGATAGCATCGACATCCTGTTTATGCGTGCGCGCCATGACCCTCCCGAAGCAGAAACATGCATCCGCATAGAGCTGACCATTTGCTTGAGACATCAGGTGCTATCTAACGACACTCGCCTTCAGAAAGTCAAATGCCCAGAAGTCCATCATCGGGCCTCGAAGACACGGCAGACGACGTGGTGGCTCCATCCCCCGAGCCCTGCATTTGGATTGTAGCTTTCACGCAGGGGGCGTTGGGCTAGCAGCGCGTGCTGCTGCTGTTGCTGTCGCTGCTGTCGCTATGAAAGCTAGTCTACTGCTAAAACTGCTACGAGCAGTACTAGCTTTTAAGAGCCGGCCATTGGCTACAGTGACGAAGCCGAGTCTGTTCAGGCGGCGCACAACGGATTTTAAACCGTTATACAAGGTTTTCGCTCGTCCCAGCACCACTCACAGCCCCCCGCGGGTTCGCACAGGTCGCAAAGGGTCACGCGCTCCGCCCCCTTCCCCGCTCCTCGTGGTCCAGGATGGTGGGGTGGAGTGTGGCCTCTTCACCCTGTGGGGTGGTTGTGGGGTGTTTTAGGTTTAGCTCAAGCTTTGGAGTTTTGGGTCGGCTTGGGCTCTGCTTTGGGCTGAGAGCCTTCATTTAGGTGGGGTTTAGGGTTGGGATGGGTTGGGTGTAGGGTTTAAAAAGGTTAGGGTCAGTAAAGACCGGAGCATGCGCTACGCTATAGGGTTATGGCTTGCGCAAGATCCCGGCACTCTCTGTGACCCCTGGCCGCCCTTTGTAAATTGGACAAGATGCTGACTGCATCCCTCGTGCATGCAAGCCTGGCAATCAGAGTGCTGGATGACCCCGTCTCAGGTGTCCAGATCGAAAGAACAGACACCAGGACACAAACAAAATCAACACTTATTAGCAGAGCCCATGCCCACTGGGAGAAAAGACGTTCACAACGTGCTTACCCATGATCCCAGACGCACTCAAGCGCAAGACCGACAGGTTGTCAGGTATGTTGAAGTGATAGCTCTGAAAATCCAAACTCCCCCGAAAGCAGAAGGGGGACCTGCGCACCGCAGTTTGGTGGCGAGCCTTCCAAGAGATTACCATGTCAAGGTCGTCTTGTTTTGAACCGCAACAAAGCACGATCTACTCTCGATAGTTAAGAATATGTACATAACGTGCTCAGGGAGGAGAGCGGGAGAGAGAAAGAGAGCGAAACCCTAAATGACACATGAGACACGACATGCAGGACACCAACCATATGGCTGGATGTTGGCCCACCATTTTCGCTCGTGGATGCTTAGCCAACATCCAGGCTTCAAGGGCGGAGGTTAGACCAATTAACCTTCGACGGTTTTGGGGTGGATGTTAGCCCAACATCCTCGGGAGGTAGCTGTTGGCCCGACACGTAGGGGGGTGGATGTTGGTCCAACGTGTCCGCTCCGGCCTGTTCGGACCCAGGTGCTTCAAGCTTTCTTGCTGCGAGTTTTCGGAGCTGCTACATGACCTTTCCTGCTCTGAGCAGGAAACCCAGCAGGAAGATCAAGTTAAGCATATGATGTCTTCATGCGTCGCGTCTTTGCATCTTCTCTAGCTCTTGCATGGTGAAGGCTGACGTGGAAAAGCATCGAGCTTCCTTGAGACGGAGGCGAGAGAACAAATGATCGTCGATGTGCTCACTAATGACGAGTTACCGGGCATCGAAATTTGACTTTGCCATAAAGGTCTAGCTGAGGGTTGGTTTGTCCTTGTCGAGGACGAAGCATGGCAAAAGTCCCGCATCTTGTGCATGTCAATTCCGGGGTGTGCGAAAGTCACATGGAGAGATCACATGCATAATGCGTCGTGTGATTGCGACCTTCGCCCTCGAAAGCCCCTTAGTTTTCCGAAAGTCTCAGGCTTCAGCACTGGTGTTGATTGGGTCGGCGGAGGTGCGCTGTAGGGATCCCTTCCGACTGACTGGACGACAGAAAGCAGTGGCCGTGGACCGAAGTTTCAATTCTGCTTTTGTATCTGTGAAACACCATGGACACCCAAAGGGCGGAAACACCAAACAATGACATGTGGAGGCACCGAACTCTAAGTTCTAGAGCCCGAGGCGGGCAGAAAGTCGCAAACACAGGTGCTCTGATCGAACGTTCGAGCTGCGCTGACTGAGAAAGTGTGGGCCCCTTGTCCCGTTTCTGACCTACGGAACAAAGCATTTCAAATCTAAAAGACGAGCCCGACCAAACCATTCTTAGCGAAGCAAAGGTCCTTGATTCAACCAATGACACAAGTCTCTTAAATGATTTGCCTGCCCAGGGGCCATGATTAGGGGCCTTGGTGCTTCGCTGCTCAACTTGGCTCGTGAGCATTACTGTTTTGTCATGCTCGTTACCCGCTTACAGGCGTGACAAACACATGGGAGCGCCGGGAAGCTCCGTTTTGCTGCATTTAGAATGGGAAGCCGGGAGCTTGGCAACTTGGGGAATTGCAATAGCTTTGGAACATATATGCAACAAATTGGTGACTCCCGCTCCTGGCAGGGAGCCGGGACCAGCGAAACTTGGGGGAACAGCCGTTCCATGTCCATGGAAATGACAAGACACCATCACCCCCGCGAGCACTCGGCACCCAAAGCCTGCCCGACCCCCCTCTGTGGTAACGTCACTCTCACGGCCCCATACACGCCTCCCGCTCCACGGGAGGAAAGACTAAACACGAACCCAACCCCCGAAGCGGCGCTGAGAAAAGCGCACTCACGTCACAACACCTGCCTTTCCTCAGGATGACGAAGATTGCAACGAACACGCTTGTCCACCAGAACAACCAAAAACTCTACATACCGGTAGATCAGGGCCTGCTGGAATGCTGAAATCATCTAGCTTTTAGGAAGAAGATTAGTCTCCACACGAAGGCAGCACACATAGCAGCAGTGCAGCAGGGGTGGCAGTCCGTAGTAAAGGAACAACAAGTGCATTTTGCTTTGCCGCGTAGTCGCTGTAGTAGCCTCTTCAGCGCCACGGCAGTGGAGTAAGCGAATTGACGAAACACTCCGAAGCCGTGTACCCGAAGCATAACCACGCCTTCCTTCAGTAGGAGCTTGGCTCGCACCTGACGACGGGCATTCTCCTCGCGCTCCTGAGATCAGAAAGCTCACTCGTCTCGTACACACAAACTCGCGCTCTCCAATCTCCAAACTGCCGTGCATGGCGAGTAGTCTGCAAGGATCGGCCAAGTACAATCCCTACAACCCCTACCGACTGAAACGACGTTTTGGATTCTGGAGCGATGTGGCTGGGGGCCGACGCAGTGTAGGCCCAGTGTAGGCACCGTGCTTGCTTGAACACGGATAAAAGTTTGAGGAGATTCTGCTGTGGAGTCGTGGTAGCGAACGTAGTGGAAAAGCGAACGACTCATGATTGGGTCGCTTCTGGATCTCGGGCTGATGCTTCAGAGTTAGAGTTGAGAGCAGGAGGGCGGTGGAATCGTCGTGCTTTTAAAGCCGTCGGTTCCAGGATTGCGGATTTGCCCGACTTGGCTTGTTTGGGGCGAATGCAACACTGGTATGCAAAGCTTCCCATGACAGGAAACATCTGAAAACTCAGGCTGCTCCATGGTAACTGTGCGCTCCGAGCGGCTGCTGCAACCTTGCGCACATCCAGGAGGCGGCGCTCCCAGTGAGGTATCATATACGCGTGGTTTCGGAGACAGAATCTTGGGGGATTCGGACTAGACTAAACCTTACAATGTGGCGAACAGACCTCCTGCCTACACACGAAGAAGACCCAGCCGGCGAAAATGCTCCAAGAATAAATGTGGCTGACGTTATTTGTCGGTTGCTGCCACGATTTGCCGACGGCCCTAAGAATCGATAACATGTGACGACCGCTGGAGCTTTGACCTGGCGCTCAACTTGAGCCTCAGGCTGTGGGTTCAGTCCCTTTGCAGCTTGAGAACATCTGGCAGTGGAGAGTCAAACTCTTGCCGACTGCTTGAAGGGCCAACAAGCATCAGTAGAAGTGTCAATAGCAAGTCTCTTTGCGATAATACTCACAGGCGATTGCAGTCGTTGTCAACGCTACGGCTGCTACGATTTGAACTTTCTTCCTTGCTAGGATCACAACCCACTGCACCAAAACCAGCACCAGCAACCAGCCATGCTACCGCCAATGCCAGCACCACCGCAACCACCACGACTACCACCACGAGAACACCAGCACCACAACCAGCAGCACCAGCACCACCACCCCACCACCGCCAAGACGACGATGCAAAAAATGAAAGGGGCGACAATGCTGAGCTGGCGGTGATGATCGCGGTGAGGTTGAGGTGCACTTATTTCTACTGCTAATACGTATATCTGTTGCCGCTGCTGCCGATGCCGAGGCCGCTGTTGCTGTGTTGGTGCCCTTGTTCCGTTTGCAAGATGCGGCTGTAGTTGCTGCTGTTGCTGCTGCTGTCGTTGTTGATGTCGCTGGTGCTGCTGTTGTTGTTGTTGATGATGTTGTTGTTGTTGCTGCTGTTGGTCGCTGTCGCTGTTGGTTGTGGTTGTTGTTGTTGTGGTCGTCGTCGTCATCGTGGTCGCCGTTGTGCTGTCGTTTCTGCTGCTGCTGCCGCCGCCGCTGCTGTTGCTGTAGCTGTTGCTGTTGGGATTGTTGAGGCGGTTGATGTTGCTCCCGGTGCTAGTGTCTGTCCTGCGGTCTCTGCTGCTGCTTTTGTCGTTGCTGTTTTGCTTTTGTTGTTGTTGTCGTCGTTGTTGCTGTCATCCTTGTTGTTGCTGTCGTTACGGTTGTGGTTGCAGTGCAGGTGGTGGCCGTGGCTGTTGCTGTTGCTGTGGATGTGGCCGTGGTTGTTGTTGGGGTTGTGGTTGCGGTTCTGGTTCTGATGGTGGTTGTGGTTGTGGTTGTGGTGGTTATGGTTGTTGTTGTTGTTGCTGCTGTTGCTGTTCTTGATTTTGTTGTTGCTGTTGCTGCTGTCGTTAACTAATGCTGCTAATGATGACTGTGACCACGTCGGCAAAAGTGGTGCTTCCGGTGGTACCGAATGTAGTGAGGACGAACATAGAATGGTGCTGAATCATACGGAACATGCTGTTGATTATGATGGTGATGGATGCTAACCTACCCTTCTCCAGGCTGCCGGCAAACAGTCTTGAACTTACATGGCACTCTCTTCCGGGAGGAATTTTCGGGATGCTCTTCTGCTTGGCTGTGACCATGTCTACAGTCTACAGTTACAAGAACGCAGGCCTGGGTCCCTGTCCAGGAAGCGCATCTTTTGACAAGCGCCAAACTCGGCCCAAAGGCCAGTCAAGCCTCCGAAGCCTGGGGTATCCCGGGCAAGGCAAACGCCAGGATCCGGACTGAATCCACAAGAACTACAGCTTCCGTCAGGGCGTTTAGGATTCGTTCGTCTCGGCCATCCTCGGCCCGGCTCAAGTTTCTCCACCTCTTGATCCCCTTCCCCTGTAAAACAACATGGAATCAAACTTTTGCTTTCAAGCACAAAGATTCTGACCTTTGGAAAGTGGGCCTGGTGGTTTAAGATGTGGACCATGGCCATGTAGCACATGGTCTCCGGCACCCGCCTTTCCCCACTGCCTGTCCCCCACATTTCTAACAGTATGAACTCTGAACCTGCAAATTGCTAGTCGGGCCCTGATGTGGAGACTAATGGAGACTACTGTACTCTTCACCTGCGATCGGGCCGAGGCGGACGACGCCAAGCGTTTACAAGAACTATTGTCGCTATTAGTCTTATAACTGCTGGTTGGAGCGGCTTGGATTCAAGATGAACGGGCATGAACCAGGGAGCCAACACAGATCTTCGTACGTATTGAGGCGGAGAAGCCCAGTTCCCTCGACATGGACTCGAGCCTGCAACCCTATGGCCGCATGGCCTAAAGCGTGCTTGGGCCGGACCCTTGTGACGAGTTTGTCCCAGCTTGGGCAGGTGACAAGGTTCCGGGTACGAGTGGACTCTTTAGCCATAGCAGGACGCGTTCCGTCTACACTCCCCGGCGCAATGCAACCCATGGTCACTCTCATGGCATGCTGAGCATGACTCTATCGAGTAGTTTACAAAGTGCACCTCAGAAGCACTATGACAATCACCTCCAAGACCACCGTCGTCTTCAACGGTTTCATCATCATTATCACCAGCATCAACAACATCATCATCACCACCAACATCATCCTAATCATCATCATCGTCATGACCATTCCCTATGTGACCATCATCATCGTCCCCATCGCCACCATCGCCGTGACCATCTCGTCATCGGCATCAAATTAAAGCCGTCGTCACGGCTATCATGACAAACATGATCGTCAGCATCACCTCTTCAAAAACCACGGGTCGTGCAACCAAGGAGCAAAACATGACTTCCATGCAGCTGTCCGTAAACGCGGACGTCTAGCACTGCGGGAGCACCTGCTGGGCCCCACTTTCAACAAATCCTCACTTCATCCCAATTGCCACCCTGTCACGTGAAAGCAGATCAGCGCGCACTCACCGTGTCAGAATCTGGAGGCAAACGTGTTGCCATCCTGCAAGCGAGGGGGCGTTCCCGGCTGCGATGCTTGCCCTTGAAACATAGAACGTTGCATGTCGGAACTACGGGACTTGCTGCTGCCAACATTTACTGTAATTTGTGTGAAACTTGCTGCAAACAGTTGACTTTTCTTGGACTCAGGAGCTACAAAGCGGAGATGACGTCACAAGGTCCTCGAGTGCGGTCGCGCAGCTGCTTGGGGGTTCGGGTACAAAGTCGCATGAGGCGTTCAACATGTGGGCAAGCCCGCGCTTTAGACCAGTTTTCGTGTTGTACTTGAGATGGTTGAGGCTTCGTATGTCTTCGCATCTGACCGTCTTGTCCATAGCATCCTCCCAAGGCTTTCCCTTCTGTTCATGCTTCATCATAGATGCATTCAACATCGGGTCGGCACAACAACGTTCACAAAGGCTGATCATCACGTCTCACGACGGCGGGAATCACAACGATAAGGCTTCCATACCCTAGATCAGTGTCTCGGTCGGCCAAAATTCTTGGGGCATTCATCCCTGCAACCCTAAGCATTTCCCAGAGACATGGAGAGTGCCAGCATGCTGGGATTGCAGAAACTGAGGTCACGGCGTACCAGATGTTGACAGCGCCTCTCGAGCAGCTCTGTTGCGACAGAATGTCACAACAAGTCAGGAGGAGAAGTGAAACAGATAAGATAGGCAATGAGGAAAATGTCGATATACAAGCGAAGGAGACCTGCACATCAAGTACACCGGCGAGCAGACGAACATATAGACAACCACACGCACTATCGATGCAGCGATGAAGCTAGCCGGAAAAGATCTACCTCTCTCTGTGCTGACCGTCACCACGGCGCCTTCCCGTTTATTGGATCTTCGTCCTGGCAGCAACATATGTCAAAACCTTCAGGTTGTGACAAAAAGCGAAGCTACCTAAATGGTAGTCGTCCAATTGTCAATTCCTGCATGACTGATTGCTGGGTCTGACCATTCGAGGTTGCTTGCAACTGTTTACGTCTTTCCGCTTACATGAGGTGATCGACTGCAAACGCTCTGTGTTTGGGGCGAGAGCCTTCAGGTCTTGAACTTCCTGATGTTGAGTGATGCTCCGGGATACATTCTACCACCACATCTTGATTTGCCGCTTCAAACATTTTGGCACATGACTTACCAAATATGCTGCAGCAAGCATTCTGTCTTGTCAACTAACGCTTGGCAAGCATGCAATGAGCCTCTGCGGCACCGTTTTCCATAGGTAACCTTCCAATGTCTACAGGCATCTATGTGGCTGAAATGTTCACCTCCCGAAATCCTGCATGTCCAAATCCCCTGCCCCCAATTTGTAGCAAGTTCAACTGACGGATTTGTGCCAAGTGATCGGGCTAAAAGTCTAAAAGCTCGTATCACTGCTCAACCCAATAGCTTCTCCCATTGCGACCTTGATGGACTCTTGATGGGAGTTGGAAACTGCCGGCTGGAGGCAGCAACCGAAAAGGCCGCCTCGGCTCCTGGAGGCTTCTGTGCCGTTTGGCCATTTAGGCTTATCGGAAGCTGGAGCATCGAATGCGATAGGGAGGGCCTAAAGGGCTTGGCGCTTTGGCTTCTCTCCACTACTTGTAGCGCCATATCCACACCAGTAGCGCTGGCACAAGTACTGCCACTGCAGAGCTACTACTGTTACTG